ACAACATCATCTGTATTGTCAGACATAGTCGAAAATGTGGAAGGTACTCCGCGTGATACATATAACGATCTTTATACATACCATGACGACACAACAATAAGATTTTTAGAATAAACATTTCAATTTTGACAGTACTAGGCCCTACTACAGCGTTATCAAAGGAAGACAAGGACTTGTTAGAGCAAGGTCTCACATATTCGAAATGGACGTTTTTATTTATATTTTGTGTTATTTTGGTCACTATAGCTATGTAAGAAGAAAAACCAAAACCACATTATCCCTAAAATACGGTATAAACCTCACACAAAACGTTGGTTATCAGTGATCCCGGAAGAAACCGTCCATGTAGAGGACCTGCATGAACCAAGGGAGGTCAGCCTAACAGGGAGCTGTGGAAGTCTTTGTTCCGCAAAAGGAACAGAGCAAGTGTTCGTTGTAAGTAAACGAATGGAACCGCATCCGGAGCGTGTCGGGTGTTCTCCAAGAAGTTTTCAAACTCAAGGGGAATATTAGGGTAAGCCACCAATACTACTCCTTCGTTACTATACTACAATAAAAGTATATCTATTAACAATTGAGGTCAGAGATGTTAGATTTCGTGAGAGTATAGTTATTATAAACTTTGTTATTATCAATATTATTAAACTATTTATTAAATAAGTCGATTTTACATAATTTGGTTTCTTTAACCAATCATTTAACGTACCTACCAGAACAGGTAACGGATTCATTGGATGAACCAACACTTCATGCTAAAACACCCTCCAAATATATATATATATATATATATATATATATATATATATAATTTACCTTTGTCTAGCGATTGTTCAATCGACTCTATTTCTGAAATGATGGGAAGAAATTAAATGTGAATTGTAAATTGCAATGAGGAATTAACTGTAGTAAAGGAGCTGCACGGGTTCGAGCGCAATTTCCGGCCAAATCCCATGTTATTTCCCATAAGGAATTCTAAGGTTCATTTGGGTGTTTTTGGAGCAGTTTGGATGTGCGCATGCGCGCCCCGCCCCTTTGCGCAGGCGTCATTTGGACGCCATCTTGGAATCCTCAAGTTCTTGGACGCCATCTTGGAATCCTCAAGTTCTTGGACGCCATCTTGGAATCCTCAAACTTCGACCCCTTCGTACCCTGAAAATTTTTTTTAAATGGAACGGATTCGAACCGTCAACCATTGGATTACAAGTCCTATAGCATAACCGCTGAGCTAATTAGACTATTATGGTATAATGCTTGGATAGTTGTATTTATAACGAACCTATTTTAAGGGTACGGGGGCGCCATCTATTAGGATTCGTATAGGTATAGGAAAGTATAATTTCAACCGGCGCCCCGGCATTGATGAGACATCAAACGGTTAGATACGAGGGTTCAGGAGAGAGATGCAAGGGAGGAGAATTCTAACCTATCATTCCATCTCGGAGGTAGCTCCCCCATTTGAGAGACATACACAAGGGGGCCCCATTCTAACCTACAACCAGAACAGGGGCGGGGAGGGAAATAAAACAACAAAAACAAAATGTAGAGCGTTTTTATTTAGAGCTGAAATAGCGATTTGATACGGAGGCGCCATCTATTGGCGTCGTAATGCATATAGAGGTATATTTTCATCCGACTCCCTCTATTAGATTGATGCGACTAGGGTAGGAAATTGTAATTTCAGGAGACAGGTGCGAGGACCCTCATTCTTACCTATAATTCCATATCGGAGGTAGGTTCCCTATAACCAGAACAGGAGTGGGCAGGGAAAAAACAACAAACAAAATGTAGGGTGTTTTTATTTACAGCGGAAATAGTGATTTGAAGTTTATTATTACAATTAAAGCGCTTACTCTACTTACATAAAATTTGCGTCGAAGAGGACCGACGACGGCAACGCCCCTATTTTTTTTGGATGACAGCATTGTTATTCATACCTAACTGTAAATTCTCCATTTGGTCGAGGCCGTTCTACAAATAGACTCTTAAAATGTATAATATGTCTTAGCGGAATATTTACCAGGATTTTAAGGTGGTTAAATAGTAAAATGGACATTTAGCTGCGTATATTCTAGAAGAGGAACAAGTTACCGAATTATCGATCTACCTTGTATAGCTTTAGTTAAATTATTATTGGGTAGATACACCTCTTTCCATGACCACCCAGGAGGCAATAAATTCACACTAGAAATAATGCAATTTATTGGAGATGTTTACGGTCTCGTTATAGGATTCCCCATTAGATATTTCTCTACACAGGGTGTATAAAAAATAACTAATAGGCCTACCTTTTTAATAGTACTGCTTGCGCATAAGTAGTAACCCGTTAGCAAAGGATAAGGTGTATAACAGAGTTGAACCTTAACATTTTATTAATGAAATCTTAAATTTATACAAGAATTTACTATTTTTAGCTTTATACAGGGGTAGTTTGCTAATAACCTTTAGTCTAAGAATATTCCTAAAATAATATCCTAATTTGTATACAAATTTCCTAGGATTTTGACAATTTGTAACTAATTCATCAAAAATCACAACCTTAATCAACTTCCATCTGTTCAACATCTTGAGGCTTATTGATAGCATAATGGCCCCACGGTAGAGTGTTAAATGAGTCAGGAATCAGGTATCTCTTATCATCCTCAGGACTTAGAGCAATTTTCGACTGCGTTATGGAATAAACTTGATGTTTATCCGTACGAATCAAATTTTGAGATGTAGTTTTGCGCTTATAGGTCTCCAGACACTCCACATAATCATCAAAGGTAATTTTAGTTTCTACTACACTTTTCTTTATCCCCTTTGCCTTCTTAGTCAAACCATAATTTTTAATAATCGTAGCAATTTCATCCTCATCATACTCCTCCGCTTCCAATTTCTGTTGTAGTTTTATTAAATCGTCCTTAGTGGATAATACTTTAGTGGTGTACAGTTTCGATCGTAATCCTACATAATCGGTCATTATCTGTCCATTATTTTCATCTTTCATCATGCCCAACACTTTCTTATTTACAAGGGGTATGCCATATGGGTTATTGGGGTCATAATCGCTAGTATCGTAATATTTAAAACAGTCGCTTTTTATAGCCATATAAGGGTCTTGTTCACGAATTTCGTAAATTAAGCTGTCCGTATCTGTGTAAAGAACAGTGCAGTTATCTCCAAATCTATCCATCATGTAGTCATAATGGAAGCTGTATATAGTTGTCTTGGCTAGATCAAGAATAGCTTGGCCCACGTATATAGGCTTATTTAAATAAATTTCAAGCTTATTCAATTCTACAGCTACCAAGTTTTCGTTAAAAATGGCGCAAGATTTAAATTCCGGTTTCGCAATGTATGATTCTGCGCCGTAACGTCCTTTCCATTGCGTTAGTAATTTGATATTAACCCGTTTTCTGACATTTTCCATAGTCTTCCCAAAGACTGCGTTATTCATCAACTTAAACAAGTTCTTCTCAAATTCATTCTTGGCTTTTTTTCTTAGTTCTGTATTAAGGTCAATGTAGGACTTTAGCCAAGGGGACTGTTTAAATTTGAGTACCCTATGTACTTTGGAGAGAATTAGGCCATGGGCTAATGCTTGCTTCAAGGCTCGATAGTGGATGACGTATTTTTCTTTATTATTTAAGGTCGCCATGAGTTTTGAAATTGCCGCAGCTTCAGTTGGCGGTTTCATAGTCTTCGGGTTGATGTGTAATGCACAGAACGGTAAATCCGTGTGAGCGTCATGCAAATGCTGTGGATACTCCAAATCAACTTCTAGAATGTAGCCTTCATCTGCATCATCCGGAATCGTAGTGATATCGATGTTGGAGTCTACCCATTCAAAGCCTCCATATGGAAGATATTGACTCATACTCCAGCCATACTGGTTATTGATATCGTTGTACATTAGATAGACATCCGGTTTCGTTGAATCATATTTGGGCATATATTTGTTGTTTGCATGAGCTCTTCTTTTAGAGCAGACTTGACTTAACCCTCCACGAATACCCCGCTCGACAAAGAGAAACATATCCTGGTCGGTAAGGAGTTCCAGCTCTTGTCGCGTGTATTTCAACATGGCATCCCAAGTAAAGCCTGGTAGTGTAAAATAGTGGGCCGGATCTAAATCATAAGTGCTAATACAGCTTGATCTAAACTGTTCAAAGACATCTGCAAGGAGTAGAATATCAGTCTTCATGTACAAGTCTACATATTGACCCAAGTTGCTGCAGTTAAATCTGTCCCACACCTCCTGAGCTCTACGATACATTTTTCTGGGACAGGGCTTATCTTCTAGCTTATTGTAGAAGTCATCTTGAGGAGGTAGAGTTGGCTCTTCGAAGCGGTCAAACGAGTCGAGGTAATCATACGGCATGACTCCTTTTTTAGTTAAAAGATTAAATTGATCCGCAGGTAGTGTAGAGAATTGCGCCTTGAGATTGGGAAATTCTGTCAGTGCTGACGATAGGGGAAGGTGGGGCAAGTTGTTACAAGGGCAAGTTGTTACAATTGAGTTGTATGGTATCTCCATCTATCATAGAATCATTTAATTTACATTGCGCGATTGAGGTACTCCATTGCAATTAGTCTGTGACATTACAGAGTTCTGACAACACTTTAGTTTGTGTTATTAATGAAAGTCGTTTTTATGCTGTCGAAAGTAATTTCTTCCTTTCTGTGAATCGATAATCATCCCAAGAAAACGGTGAGTAGCTACTTAATTTTATTTATACCGAAACAAAGCCTATGCTTTGATAGACTTTTCTCACTCATTTGCTTTCAATAATATTCAGTGCAATTATCACTACCCCTACATAACCTTGACACGAATGTATGGGGCAAGTTGTTACGTCAAATGAAGGGCACGTTGTTACATGTAACAACTTACCCCATCCAGAAAAAAATTGAGGAAAAATGACATTTATTACATTGTTACAGGTTTATTAGAGTTGTAATAATGGTTAGGGATTACAAGCGCAAGACTGACAGGGGCAATACTCCTGCTGAAGTTTTTCAATCTGCCGCGCACGCAATAACCCAAGAAAACTTATCGATAAGAAATGCTGCCGAGCGATACAACATTATCTTTATGACATTGCATCGTTATGTTAAGAGATCTCGTTTACAAGAAAATAATGACGGTGGTGCCACTCATGTTGGTTATACATCACACCGAAAAATATTCACCGACAATCAAGAAGTAGAACTTGCTAACTATGCTGCAGATTCAGCAAAACTATACTTTGGCCTTACTACAAAGGATTTACGACAATTAGCGTACCAGTTTGCTGTTACAAATGGTATCCCAGTGAACCAAGTATGGAAAGACAACCATATGGCGTCAAAAGACTGGCTGTTAGGTTTTCTAAAAAGAAATAAGGACCTTTCCATAAGAGAACCTGAAGCCACAAGTTTATCTCGTGCAACAGCATTTAATCGTCATAACGTTAACTTGTTTTTTAATAACCTTGGCAGCGTGTACGAAAAATATAAATTTGAATTCCATAATGTCTACAACGTTGACGAAACAGGGTTAACCACAGTGCAGAAACCGTCAAAAGTAATAGCTAAGAGAGGTACCAAACAAGTGGGTGCCATGACATCAGGAGAGAGAGGGCAACTAGTGACAATGGCCTTAGCAGTTAATGCGAGCGGCAACAGTGTGCCACCCATGCTTGTATTCCCACGGAAGAATTTCAAAGACTTTATGCTTTCGAATGCACCTCCTGGTTGTAAAGGTGCAGCACATCAGTCGGGCTGGATGACTAGCGAGAACTTCCTTATTTTTATTGAACACTTTGTGCAATTTGTGAAATGTAGCAAGGACAAACCAGTATTACTCATATTAGATAACCATGAGTCTCACTTGTCAATTTCCGTCTTAAATTATTGTAAACTTAACGGAGTGGTTCTCCTTAGTTTCCCACCGCACACATCACATCGACTACAGCCCCTAGATCGAACTGTTTATGGACCTCTCAAGAGATATTATAACAGCGCTGCGGATGGTTGGATGAAATCCAATCCTGGAAAGCCTATGACAATTTACGACATTCCAGGTGTGTTGGCTAAAGCTCTACCTTTAGCAGCTACGCCTAATAATATCCAGAATGGTTTTGCAGTGACAGGTATCTGGCCATATAATAGAGATATTTTCACAGATCAAGATTTTTTACCCGCAGAGGTTACAAATAGACCATTTGTCACAAACACTCCAGTAGACAATCCAGTTCAACTTAACGAAGATGCAATAATTATGCCAAAGGAACGAACGCCATCACCACAGCCTTCAACATCTCGTAGTAGCAAAAGTGGTGGCCATTTCACCCCTCAGCAAATAAAACCGTTTCCCAAGGCTCCAGCACGAAAGCAGCAGAAAGGACGGCGAAAGCGGAAATCTGAAATATTAACTGACACTCCAGTTAAGGCTGCTCTGGAGGCAGAAGCTGAAATGAGGGAAAATAGGAAGAAGAAAGCTGAAAGGACAAAAAAAAATATGAGTGGGAAAATAAGTTTGGCATCTACCAGTAAAAGAACAACTCTAATAAAAAAATACCCAAAACAGCCAGATACAGATTCTGAATCTGATGATGAAGATGCGCTTTGTCTCCAATGCCTAGAAGCGTATTCTTCATCTAGAAATGAAGAATGGATTCGATGTACCAAATGCAAAAGATGGGCGCATCTTAGGTGTGCAAAAAATGACGATTATTATGTTTGCCTCCATTGTCTTTCCGATAGCGATGATGATTATTGAGTTTTTTTGTTTATATTTAATTTTTTCCTTAATAAATATATTTTAACAACAATAGTGAGATGTGTAACAACTTGCCCCTGACACTGTAACAATTTGCCCCACATAGGGGTAACTTGTTACAAATAACATCTGTAATATCAAGTTTAAATAAAGGCAACCTCGGCCACGTAAAGTTATAAATTAATTGATGTAATGATAAAGCAAGGGCCTGTGAACGTGACCAAACATTTGAATTTTCAAAACAATCGAAATATGCCTTTAGAAAAATTAAATAGTAAATATTGTAACAACTAGCCCCACCCTCCCTAGTTTATCTGCCCCGACGCATGAACGGAAGCTATCGATAAATCTGAAGCAGTGCGTGACTCGTTGATGTGTTTGGTAAAAGAAATATATTTCTCCTTGGTTATAGGGAGCAAGTCGATCTTGCCGTCCATTCTAGTGGCAATATCTGTTACAACAAAGTGAGCATCATATCCACTCAAGTTGTGGAACACCACCGGAATTGTATGAGTGTCCTGGTAGTTGACGTTGCATCCCTCACATGCCGCTCCGCGGAAGTTGTTCTCCGGGATAAGGTGATTGTGATCTCGAACTTTCTTTTGACCAGATTTAAATGACTGTTCACAAATATGGCAGTGCGTTGCTGCTTGAAATTCAAGGTCCTGCTGTGGTGTCATATGCATCTTGTAGGGGCAAAGAAACACCGTAGAGACATCTTCCGCAAGCTTATTCATCTCGTCAGCAAACCATCGCATACAGTCTTCACCGCGGTAGCTGTTGTAGAACGAAAGAGATTCATCGTATGAGCACTTGAAGTAGTATCCCACAGCTGCTGGAATATGTTGTTGGTATGCAGTCTTTTTTGTGCTAGGTTTCAGAACGCTCTCGAGATCTGCATATACGACAAAGGGGGCTTTTATTTTATTTTTAAAATTTTTAAACTTCAACATCTTTTTTTCCTCTGTAGGCATCTTGATGGCTGTATCATTCTTTTGTATGCAATCCTTAATATGCTTATGTAATTTATCTTCAGAACGGTAAAAATGTAGACATCTATCGCAAATATACTTTTGCCTTTTTTCTTTGCTTAACTGCTTCGATACTAGCCGTGAAAGATTTTTTATCCAAACATAATGGAACTTGGTCGATTGTTCGTAGCAGTCTTGCACTAAAAGCAGGTTCACATGTTTATCCCTCTTTTCCTTCGTTAGGTAGGTAGGCAACGTATTAAATTGGTCTTTTTTCTCCTTCTTCAGAATATACACGTTAATGGAGATGTTGTTTTGTTTTTCAAAGTTCGGAATTTGTCGCATAGTCATCGGAAACTGGATCCCTTTTAGCTTGAGCACGGAAGAGTAGTGAGGGTATTTGGATATTCTTTGAGGATGTTTATCAACAGGATACAACGCTGAAACCACCGCCCACGCAAAGCACGCATTGTCATCGTTCTTAACGTTGATACAAGCTTCTTTTCTCTTAATCAGGACAGGTAACTCAATATATGAAGAGCCAAGTTGAGGTGTAAATTTGTTAATGTTCACTCCTAAATTAACAACGGCACTAAGTCCCCAACCACTATCACGTTCTTGAAATTCCGATAATTTCTTCATTATTGGTTTCTCAACCTTCTCCTTAAACCACTCATCTATGTTAGTATCCCTATATATTGCCGCATTTGATGTTGTAAAGTACTTATACTCATTAAGCATCTTTTCACCTTGAGTAATCACAAATTCCCCGCAAAAAATCGCATTTATTTTCACAGCCTCATCTTGCTTCAACGCGTTATGAATTCGGCTTTTGAAGATGGTCTTACAATCCATTAAGAAGTTGCCGGGGTCTTTATGTTTAAGATTAGTGATAACTCCAGTTCGTATTCTATTGCTAAAAGCCGAAATGGAGTCATCCCAATGCACGCGATCTTTTGCGGTTTCTTTTCTATTACTAAAAGCCGAAGTGGAGGTTCCTTTATTCAAAGATATACCCAAGCCTCTCCTTTGTTCTAATTTAAAGTGTTTACGCATCGATTTAATATTACGTAAACAAGCCTCAAGATGTTGCCTTTCACCTATGGATAATGACCTACGCATCGAATCTTGAATTCTACGTCTAGCCTTATCACACTTAATTATCCCTTGCCTCACGGTTTTGCCACTATACTTAGTTCTAAGCACACTTAAAATACTTGCAATCTGTTTTACTAAATCGGTAAACATCTTGCACGTCTAAAAGCTCAAAATACTAAATAATAAAAGCAATATTAATAACAAAACTCGCCTATAGATATAATACGTCTAAGAAAATACACACTAACAGATAAAATACGACTAATAAAATTCGCACCAACAGATACAATACGACTGATCTCAACGAATGATCGAATTGGAATGGGAAAAATCTGAATAATGTATCGCATATATAGCGAACTCCTCCTAGATACCCCCTCTAACGTTACGATAAATTCGATAATAAATGTATCGCATATATAGCGAACTCCTCCTAGATACCCCCTCTAACGTTACGATAAATTCGATAATAAATGTATAGGGAGTTGCGAAAGTGATATAGGTTGGTATAAGCAAATTCTATTTATAGGTCATTAATCTATTTATAGGTATATTAGGAATAAAAACAATTTATGCAAAACGTGTTTATTAAGGGTATCTAAACATTACGGCGTTATTTATTATACCGTGATTTGCGCAATTACATTTTTCAAACAATTTTTCGGACTCCTCGTTGGAACAAAATGCTGAAAATTCAGTAACGCCAATGATGTGAGTCACAAGTTCGGCGGCATATCCTCTTCTTCGATACTCCGGTAAAATATAGATGTAATTCAGCATCTTGGGATTTTTTATGAATATCTAGAGGATCGAAGTTCATTCTTGATATTAGCGCAAATGCTGCAGGTTTCGAATTCAGGTACCTAATGTAGCAGTAGACGCCCTGATCGATGTACCACTGATAGAGAAAAACATCATCTATCTTTAAACGCTTTATCTCCTTAACTGCTTCTTTACCTCGAAATAATCGTATATTCGTCATCTTCTGAACTGAAAACGTATATCACTCTACATCTATATTTATATGGGTAGGTATGCAATAACGGAAGCAGCATCCGGTCATCGGCAGGAAGCAGCATCCGGTAAATTCTAATCAGCAGGAAACAGCGTCCGGTCGTTAACAGGAAACTAACATCCGTTCACGTCAACAGGAAGCAGCGTCCGCTGTTGTAAACAGGATATCCGAATCAGCAGGATATGCTAATCAGTAGGAAACGTAAATGGCGGGAATAGGAAACAGCGCCCGGT